CCCCCCCCCCCCCCCCCCCCCCCCCCCCCCCCCCCCCAGATCATAAGCAGTAAGCAAGTACACTGATAGGGCAACACCTTCCGACAGTGATAAGTGCTACGGAGAATAAAAGATAGGACGCTGCAATCACCTTGGAAAGCGGCCTGGCAATTTCTTCAAAAGGTAAATATGACCTGCCGTATGATCTGGTCATTCTGCTCCCAGATGTTTACCCAAACAGGTGTTCCATAACTCTCCCCTGAATGAATGAATGAATGAATGAATGACTCGGTGTTCTTCATATCTCTCTCTGTACTGAAAGTGCAAAGATAAAACTTGGCTGAGGCACACACGGTTGGTGAGGGACGCGACAGATTTAAACTTGAGTTCCAAAACTGTGCTCACTAAAGCTATGACCCCAAAGCCTTGTGGGATAGGATTTGGGGAGGGGGGCATTTGTCCTTCCATAGTCGGGACTGGGTCATGGCAGAAACTCTGACTCCTTTGAGAATAGTCACTTTCCTTTGTTCCTATGAGCTACCCCCCCCCCCAACCCCAGCCAGCTGGGTCTTCTGCCCCCTCCCCCATGCCTCTGGCCCCAGCTGGTCGGGATGAATGCAGTGTCACTGTGTGAGCGGCAAGGACCTTCCACAGACCCAGCCTTGTGCTTCATCCGCAATCTATCTTGCCTCCTCGCCTCCCTCTGTCCTTTGCATCCCAGCCTGGGCTGTATTTTCCCTCCCAAGATGGAGGCAGTGGAACCGAGGGGCTGAATGTCAGGGAGGGTCCCAGAGCCAGACCTCCTCGGTCCCCAGGCCAGTTTCATACCCACCAGTGATTTGGATAATCTTTCCAACTTCTCTTAACCTCAATCATCTTACTGTAAATAAGGATCAGGACAGCACCTACACCATGGGGTCATTGTGAGCATTTACTACAGAACGCTTTTCACACCGTGGGCCACAAAATAAGTACTTAATAAATGTCAGTCTTAATCCTAGGAGTTGTTTTTTATTTTCTCCTTTTTTTTTTTTAATTTTTTAAATTTATTTTTGAGACAGGGAGAGACAGAGCATGAACGGGGGAGGGTCAGAGAAAGAGGGAGACACAGTATCTGAAACAGGCTCCAGGCTCTGAGCTGTCAGCACAGAGCCCGACGCGGGGCTCGAACTCACGGACCGTGAGATCGTGACCTGAGCCGAAGTCGGATGCTCAACCGACTGAGCCACCCAGGCGCCCCTTTATTTTCTCCTTCTAATGGGATTGAAGTCTTATTACACCCCTACAGGCTTGGGTGAAACACCTCTAGGATCTCAGGTGGATGGGGACTTTTTCTTAGAAAAAAAAATTGATAAATAATAATATAGTGTTATAATATCCACCATTTATTGAGGAATTACTCTCTTCTCGGTATCCAACAGCAATAATTAACAATAACTAATACTTAATGACAATAGCAGCCAATCCTGATTTAGTGCTTACTATCTGCCAGGCACTATTCTAAACACTTTTTATGTATTAATTACTGACAACCCTTTGAGGAAGTTACCATTACGATCTTCCTCTTACACTTGCAAAAACTAAAACACAGAGAGGTGAAGCAACTTGCCCAAGTTCAAACAGTAAGTGGCAAAATCGGGATTCAAACACCTGTTCCGCTGTGTGCTAAATCCCAAAATATCAAACGAGGTGTAGCCGTTTACCAGCTCTCAACCACGGTGGCCAGTTTGCACTTCTCTGCCCCCTGGGCTGGAGGACCGCGTCTCCAATAGGGCATTAAATTAGGCCAGTGGGCCCTGGAGTCTTGCAAAAGTCTCCCTTCATGTCCGGAGAGAGTATGTGTCTTGTTTTGTTTTGTTTTTTAAATGTTTGTGTATTTGGGGGAAGAGTGCGTGTGTGCAGGCGTGGGGCAGAGAGAGGGAGAGAGAATCCCAAGCAGCACAAAGTCCCAGTTGGGGCTGGATCCCATGAACCGTGAGATTATGACCTGAGTCGAAAATGCTTAACCGACTGACTGAGCCACCCAGACGCTTCCAGAGGATGTGTCTTGATTTGATCTCAGGACCCTCCCACGCCTCACCCCCCACCGCCAATCCCAGGTCGTTTTGTAGCCTCCCATGAAGTTTCTCCCTCCTAAAAGCAAGAACAAGCACTCAGACGCATCCGAGGGGGTCCCTTACCCCAAGTGACTCTAACGGAAGCTGGTGCTCTCCAAATGAAAATTTTCTCTGGTTATGGGGGAAGGATGAGGCGGGGAGGGGGATGGAGGTAGGGAGAATTAATGTTCCTGTCTGGGTTGGGGAGAGGGTGGTCAACAGTCTAAGAGGGGTGCCAGGTAAGATGGCCCTTTCCTTCATCAATTCTTTCCATTTACAGCTGAGGGGCAGACAGTGTTTAGATAAAATCTTTTTCTCTCCAATCTTCTTCTTTCTGGAGACAGTTGTGTCCTGTAGGTTTTCTGCTGGTTTTCCAGCTAGCTTTTGGTATACTGACTCAAGTGGGCCCCAAGCAGTATAGTGATAATAACCTTCTGTATCGCTAATAACAACAGCTCATGTGTATTACTCACTTACTAAGTGGTAGGCACTGTTCTGGGCATTTTACCTTCACAAAGACACTATCCGTGATCAAATTTTAGCTAGGTTCCTCTGAGCCCTCTCCCAGACTAGGCCTGGCCTTCTGTATCCAGCCTATCCTTGCTGGGGCTGCAGAGCCCTAAGAACCCTGCTAAATCAATTTAGTGAGACTCTCCCCACCCTTGATATCTGATCACCCTCCTTATCTGATCAAGTTCCCTATCCCCCACCTTTGGTGTCCTCGCCTGCCTTTAGCAAGAATCCTGTTGGGTCAGTTTAGCAAGAATCTCCCTACCCTTGATGTCTGTTCTTGGTATTTTCCATCCACTGACCCTCCCTCTGCGCCTGTCCTTGCTGTCCTGGGAGGTGAGCTTCCTCAGGCTTCCCCATTGCAATACCCCTACGGCAACAGTCTTCCCTACCGGTCCAGCAAGTGTCAGAATTTTTTCATTATCGACAGGAATCAGTTCATTTAACCTCACCAGGATCCTATGAGGTAGGTATTGTCAGTGTCTCCACTTTGACGCCAGGAAGCAAGGAGGAGGGTACCCGCAGGGACGAGACGAGACACAAGCTGTGGGCACCTGGACGTTCCCCCCAATTCTTCAGCTGCAGGTGGTCCCCTCGATCCACCTGTCAGGTTACTAACCAGGCGAGATACTGCGCCCTTGGCGACACACATCCCAGCGTTCTCCAACCGCCTGCGGGAACTGCCTCGGAGGCGGCCGGAGCTGGAAACCCGGAGGAGGGCGGGCGCCGCCCGACGCCGTCTCCTAGCAACGGGGCAGCGATCACGTGGCCCGCCTCACGTGGCCCGGAGCGGCTCTGGAGGTGGAGTGGCCGAAGCGGGGCGGGGCGGGGCGAGGCAAGTTTGCGCCCGGAGTTCGGAGCCCAGGAGCCCCCGCGGCCGCGGCGCAGGTGCCCTCCGCCTAGCTCGGGATGGAGCTGCCTACCGTGAACTTGAAGGTGGCGACGGGCAGGGCGGGGCGCGGGCGGGGCGGGCCCTCCAGAGTGTGTCGGGCATTTGCTTTTTTTTCCCAAGAAAGATTTTAGAGGTGAGGGGATCAAGAGCTTGGGGCAAGAGGGGTAGTAGGGAGAAAGAGTGCGTGGAGCCGAGCCGGGAAGGAGATGCGCAGACCGGAAAAGGAAAGGGATCCAGGGAAGGGCCTGCAGGGAAGACCGCGAGGGAGCTGGAGGCGGCGGGGGCGGGAGGATCGCTTCGGCCCAAGCGCCCAGAATTCCCCCCGGAGAGGGTGGGAGGGGCGGACTTGGGGGCGGGCGCTGAGAGCCCGAGGGGGGTCTCGGCGGCTGGACACCTGCCCTTTCCCAGAGAGAGGGGGGCAGACCTTTCACCTGCACGCCCAGCACCGCCCTGCTGCTTTGTTGGCTTAATCGGGTTAAGAAAAGCCGAAATTCGCAGACGAGTGCTTTTTCCAAAGTTGATCAGTGCAGCGTCCCTGTTTCTTAAGAAAACGGGAACTCCGAGAGAAGTTACTTAAAAGCAGAAAACCCCCACCGTATCCACTTAGGAGGACGCTGAGAGCCTTTCTGGGGTGTCTTCATTTCCTGTGGCGTGTCCTCAGCTCCTCAAGATGCCAGCGGCTTCTTCATTTTCTCCCCGCCCACCGCCGGTGGCCACCGCTTCTGGGCTGAGTTTGCCAGCGAGAGGCTGGGACCTTTAGCTCTGGGCAGCAAGGTGTGAGCCTTGGGCCAAACCTGCCATTTTGGGTCTGGGCGCCCTCCCCCTTGAGGCTGTATCCAGGAATGGCCTCTTACTACCCAGTGACGAAGCACTTAGCACGCGTGGCGTCCGGCACCAAAGGAATCTAACGCCCAGAGGGCTACAAGACAACACGTGATCCGTCTGCGGATTGTTAGACGGGGCCTGTGTTCGGACTCCACATGGGCAGGTTTTCCTTAATGCCATTTGCCTCCCTGAAGCTTCCAGCCTAAGAGGTTTACAGGAGGGCAGCTGCGGTTTGTTGGGGTCAACATCCCCTGTGTTCCGGGTAGTGTGAGTAAGTGCCGGCTGCCTTTTCTCTGATGACAGATTTGCCTACAATAATTGCTACGAGAGAATCAGGTGAGGGGCAGAGCTGCGGGAATGGAGAGGGCAGGGAACCCTCCTCATTCCCGGGCGCCAGGTTGTTAACTCGATCGCAACCACCTTCTGAGAAAGCCGATACTGTCACCTTTTTACAGAGGAGCAAACTTGGGCTCAGGTCCGATAAGTAACCTGCCGAGGTCCCACAGGGATTCAGTGGCAGAGTCAGGCTTTGGACCAACTGGGGTCAAACTTCAAAGCCAGGTCCTTTCCTGGCCTCCAGTTAGGACTGACTTCTGCCTTGATGGTTTCCATCCACTGGGGGAGCCTTAGACCCTTTGGGGCTTCCTTTGTTTTTGAGCAACTTCGTGTGCCTAACAGGCCTAACAGGACACCCACAGGTATGTCCTGGTATTCGGTGCCCCAGAGTGACATGGCTGGCTGTACCCTAGGCAGAAACGAGACCCCATGTTTCCAAAGGTCACCGATGCTACCAGTCAGAGATAAGGAAGTACTAGGAGGCTCTGAGGGGACAGGTTTGCCAGGTAGCATACAGGACATCCAGCTGAATTTGAATTTCAGACCAACAACGAGTAATTTTTAGGCATAAGTATTAGGCAATATTCGGGACATACTAACACACTGTTTATTAACCAAACTTCAGAGTTCACTGGGCGTTCTGTCTTGTTGTTGTTAAATCTGGCCACCCTATAGAGAGCGGCTGTTGACTCCTTCCCTGGAGGAACCAAAGTGGGATGTTCTGAGATCAGGACCCCCGGGGAGCTGGGAAAACGCACCCCTGTGGCCCCGCACCCCCTCATTTCATACATTCCTTGGCAACTGGTTGGATGCCTGCTTGTGCCCAGCCCAGCCAGAGTGGTCAGTGGTGACAGGTGAAAGAAACAGCTGCCACAGGCCCTTTGCCCAAACGGCAGCCCCTAACCGAGCCCCATCCGAGAGGCAAGTCCTGAGCTGCAGAAATGACATTGCGGCAAGCTGAGAACAGAGTAGACTTGGGTCCATGAGGTCTTGTGAGAAAAGATCTTCGGGAGGAGGGGCCAGGGAATAGCAGCATTAGGTTAAAAATTAGGAAGCCGACTTCCTGACGGGAGTAACGAGGATGGCCGTGTGCTGAGGGCTGCCTCCCTGGCAGGCACTGTGTTGTGTGTTTCACGTACCTCTCTACCTCCCTGTGCTGCTAGATCCACATGACAATTCTATGACCCGGGCGTTATTGTCCCTACTTCACAGATGAGCAAACAGCAGTTCCAGGAGATCCGGTAACTTGCCCGAGATCACACAGCTTCTACATCATGGAGCCAGGATCAGATCCAAATCTTTGGCCTCATTGCCCAGGCAGTTAACCACCGCCCGACTCTGCCTCCCCGCCGTGGCGTTCCTGACGCGGGTCCCTCAGCCTTAGCTGCCCTGGGCGGTCTTACTGCCTCACGTAACAGGCTGCTGAATGTTTACACAGGACTAATAGAACTATATTCCATACATTGATCTGTAGGTTGACCTGACGTCTGTCTACCACCCGTCTAGGAATCTCCCCCACACCCAACCCCTTTCGTCCATGGGCCCTCTAGTGGCAAACAAGGGGTCTAAGTCATGGTCCACGTGACCGCTTGGGTTCCCCTTAGCCTTCCCTTCTGCTTAAACCTCATTTCCATCCACCCTTCCCTTTCTCCTCCGGATCCCGACCGTGTAGCATAGACTTTGCTACTTATTAGCTGTGTGACCTTGAACGGGTTTCTTAACCTGAGTATCCGTTTCCTCACTGTAAAAAGAGGATAAAAATAAACCCTACCTTCTAGGGTGCTAAGAGAAGGATCCAGTGGTCCAGAAGTTGGTGGAGCATTACATTTTTTTTTTTAATGTTTATTTTTGAGACAGAGAGACAGAGCATGAACGGGGGAGGGTCAGAGAGAGAGGGAGACACAGAATCGGAAGCAGGTTCCAGGCTCTGAGCTGTCAACACAGAGCCCAACGTGGGGCTCGAACTCATGGACCGTGAGATCATGACCTGAGCCGAAATCCAGGGTCGGACGCTTAACTGACTGAGCCACCCAGGCGCCCTGGGGCATTACATTTTTATTAGCAGAAAAACTCAGACCAGACAGACCGATTCGGAGATTGGCATCTGAGCTCTGTTGTTTATAAGTGTTCCAGTTTGGGCCAGTGACCTAATCTCTCACTGCCTCCATTTCTTCACAAGTAAAAGAACCTTCATACTCTCTTCCCCCATACAGTTGCAGGGTGACGTGGTCCAAGTGTTCGGGGCAGTGTAGACACATGGCAGACAGGTCCTCATCGGTAACAGGAATTGTGTTATTGACGCTGTTCCAAGATGCCTGTTCACAGGGGTGCTTGGCATGACTGTGGATACGTACAGTAACTATCAGACGCTGTCTCTCTACAGTTGAGGCACCCCGCTGGGACATATGGGGACATAGGTATTGCCTCCATTAGAGAGAAGGACCCTGGGGCACAGACACAAAGGGACCTGGCCCCTGGATCAGAACCCAGGTCTCCAGTCCAGCATCCTGTGGCCCCTGGCTGCCGTGGCCCCCGGGCCCCCCCCCCCCCCCCCCCCAGTCTTCTGACACATTGGATGCTGCCTGGGGAAGAGCCAGGCAGGCCCCCTGTGCCGAGCACTGTATGAAGAGTCCAGGAGCTCAGGTCTCTGTCCTCTTGCCCAGCCAGGAAGGGCTGCCCAGGCACGTTCTCAGAGCCCAGCACCCCCCCCCCCCCCGCCCCATCCCCCAGTCTCTCAGGCAGTACCTGAGAATCCCTGCTGTCCCCTTGGTTCCCAGAAACCTCCCCAACAGCCGGCAGACAGTTCTTTGTGCTGAGATGAGTCACTGTTCCCTCCTGTGTCGGGAAGGGCAGGGCCCATTTGGCTCGGTGTCTGGTTGGAGCTCTCCTGGATTCAAGGCCTGGGTGGGCGTGTCCTCTCGCTACAAAGATGAGGAAACTGAGGCTTAGTCTTCTGCGGGTTCCTTTTCCCAGGGGCTTAAGAGACATGATCAAAAGGTGCTTAATTTCTTCAGTATTTATAAAACAAAAGTGATGTCTGTCACATGGTGGGGACACCCTGTGTCTTCAAGGATCCTCAATATTTCCAGGTTGCACTCTTTTCTTCCCCAAACAGATGGCATAGGTTTGGACGTTAGGCAGGCGCTCACTGCATTCACAGGTCTTTTCGGCTCCAGGAGAAATCTTTATCTCACAGGTGACACAGAGCGATTTCCCCACAGTCTTGCCTGGGCATCGGCGGGCACCCTGGGGGCCTGCTCCTCATCCAGCTCACCTTAATCAGGCAGAACTCTGCAGGGCCCGTTGTGTGCATGGTCTGAATGGAGGAAGCAGAGCACTTGGAAATTAAGACGGTTCCTGGAATAGAAGCCAGCAGTGCGGAAGGCTTAGGTGTTGATTTTCAGGAGGAAGGTGGTGATGTGAGCCGCCTCCCCTGTGCTGTCTTTCTCAGTGTCTTCTCTTAGTCCAAAAGCCGGACACCAGGACTCTCGCGACTGGTCACGTGCTGTGGCCTTCGAGGCAAGACTTCTCCCCTCTTGTGGGTAGGGTTTCCTGTTAAGACAGACCGGGTGGTGGTGGTTAGCTCTTGAGATAAAGATCAGAATTCTTTCCCACACCTCCCGGGCCCAGCCCTGCCCACCCCCCAGCTTCCTGTCCGTCCTCTGCTCTCCTCTTCTGTCCGACTGCATTGGCTTCTTTCCAGTTTCCAGAAGGTTCCACGTTTCCTTCTGCTACAGAGCCTTTGCAGGCTCCATCCCTTCTGCTTGAAAGGCTCTTCTTTGATCTTTGCCCCTAGTTAATCCCCTGCTTAAAAGTCACTCCCGGGGCACCTGGGTGGCCCAGTGGGTTGAGCTTCCGACTTTGGCTCAGGTCATGATCTTGCAGTTCGCGAGTTCGAGCCCCGTGTCGGCTCTGGGCTGACACCTCGGGGCCTGGAGCCTGTTTCGGATTCTGTGTCTCCCTTCTCGCTCTGCCCCTTCCCTGCTCGTGCTCTCTCTCTCTCTCTCTCTCTCTCAAAACTAAATAAACATAAAAAAAATTTGTTTTAAAGTCACCCCTTCAGAACCACCCCACGGCCCCACCCCACCCGGCTGTAGAATGGGTCTCCGGTTCCCTTGCTATCACCCTCCTTCTGGAAGAGGTTCTCACTGGAGCCTTCGTTTCTAAGGTGATGATCTGATCAGCAGGTGTCCTCCACCATGTAAAAGTTCTGGAAGGGCAGCAGGGCACCACATCTCCTTTGCTCACCGCTGAGTCCCCAGGGCAGGTGCCTAGCAGGTGCCAGGGATGCCGGGTTAAAGTATAAATGCCTGAGAAAAGTAGGACCATGAGATCGCATCTCTTAAGCCTCTGGGGGGGAAAAAAAAAAAAAAAAACCTATGGCAGGAGTACCCACGTGGCTCAGTCGGTTAAGCATCTGACTCTGGATTTCAGCTCAGGTCGTGACCTCATGGTTCATGAGATCCTCTATTTTCTCATGTTCCCCTACTCTATGCCCCGTGTCAAGCTCTGCACTCACAGCACGGACCCTGCTTGGGATTCTCTCTCTCTCTGCCCCTCCCCCCTCTCAAAATAAATAAACATTAAAAAAATAAATAAAAGGAAAGGGTGCCTGGGTGGCTCAGTCAGTTAAGCGTTGACTTCAGCTCAGGTCATGATCTCATGGCCTGTGAGTTCGAGCCCTGCGTGCCCACTGTGCTGACAGCTCAGAGCCTGGAGCCTGCTTCGGATTCTGTGTCTCCCTCTCTCTCTGCCCCTCCCCCGCTCACGCTCTGTCTCTCAAAAATAAACAAACATTACAAAAAACATTTTAACAAACCCGTGGCAGACTAAGACTTCTCTGCCTCAGTTTCCCCATCTTTGTAACGGGAAGAGCACATCTGTCCAGGCCCAGAGAGGCCTGGCAGTCAGACAACACTGGGCTAATGGTCAGATTTGAATCTGTTGAGTGGCTCTGCCACTGACTTACCTCTGAGCCTCAGTTTTATCAACTGTAAATGGCACCTCCACGGACTGTAAGAATGAGGTGCGTTCGTGTATAGAAAGTACCTAGTATGGGGGTCTGACCCTTAGGAAGCGCTCGGTAGTAAACAAAGGTAGCCAGTCGTGAAGATTCCTTTTTTTTTTTTTTAAGTTTTATTTATTTAAGTAATCTCTACACCCAACGTGGGGCTCGAACTCCAAGCCCTGAGGTCAAGAGTCAGATGCTCTAACAACTGAGCCAGCCAGGTGCCCCGCGAAGATTCCTTCTGGCGCCAGCCTTCCATACTGTACAGACTTGGTTTTTTCAGAGTCTTGGGACCTCCGTAAAGTCAGGAGCATCAGTCCCTACAGAACTCTTCTCCTAGTCTGTTGAGCTTTTGGGCCATGGCACCAAAGCTTTTTTGGTTCACTCGCACTGGGCACGAGGGGTGAAGGCGGAACATCCCAGCCATCTGCTCTGGATTTCACCTCCCCCATGTGCGGAAAATGTCCACATTTGTCGAAAGTTCAAATGGCTTTTCTCCGCTGAAAGCCCGGGCCCCCGCTGCAAAGTTGGGTGCCCCGGAGGCACACTTACAATTGAAGTCTGGTTTTACCACTTGCCATCTATGGAATCCAGAGTGACTTGATATTCCTCGGAGACTAGTTTTCCCATCTGTAAAATGGGAATGATCTTTTATTTTATTTTATTTTTTGAAGTAATCGCTACCCACGCAACGTGGGCTTGAACTCATGACCCAGAGATCGAGAGCTGAATGCTCCCCCAACTGAGCTAGCCAGGCCCCCCCAAAATGGGAATGAGCTTAGTGACTGTTCCAGAGGCGGTTCTGAGGCCCCAAGGAGGTTGTGTAAGGCTTTTGGCACAGAGTATGTGCACAGTAAGTGGTAACTCCTCTCGAGGGGCTTCTCCCTCCCTAGCCAGGGTTCTTTCTTGCAGGTGGCAACCCCCACTTCTGCCCTTTCACCAGTCCAGAAGCCGGGGCGGTTCACTATACACCCTTGCTGTGCCTGCCCTGGCTCTCCGCTCTCCAGGCCGGCAGGCATGCTATCCCCTCCCCATGCTCTCGGCATCTCCCCCTCCCACCTTGATCCCCACCAATCCCTTGAGTAACTCCTTCAGGGTCCCCCATCCACCACTGGGACCCCACTGAAGCTCCTGACTTGGGGCTCCTGGCCCCCCATGGGTTCAGCGCCACTCCCTCTTCCCCTTCCTGCCTCCCCGTTCCTGTTGTCACGCGCCAGCTCAGAACACCTTTCTCTCCTCCCCTTTGCCTGGCGGGTCCCTGCTTACCCCTTGGCACTGAGTGCCCTCCTTCGGAAACGCCAGCTCACAGCCGCCCTGCCCTCCCCATAGCATCTGCTCCCTCCTCCGTCTGCTTTCCAAGCAGGGCCCTTTTGATTACCAGGAGTAGAGACCAGTTCCAGTAATGGGGGCTGTGATTTTAAGGACCTCTGGGGCGATAAGAGGGGTGGAATAGTGTAGACATTTAGAAAAGAAGCCAGAGGGATTTTTTTTTTTTTCTTAAACCATACCAGGTTACTTCGTTGCAGAAAAGCCTTTGGTGGCGTCCCCTCCATGCACTGAGGATGAAATCCACATTCCTTGCCGAGACCCTCAAGGCCTTCCTCCCCACCCCCACCCCTCCCCCTGTTCTTCCCCTCCTGTATTTGCGAAGCCCTCTTAGGTGCTAGACAGGGGCTTGCGTCCCGTGTTTTCTGGCTGCAAAAGCTCCGCCGCGCCCCCCCCCCCCCCCAACGCCCCTGCCATCTGGTGGTCACATTCATAGATCTTTTCTTTCCCTCTCCCCTATTTTGTGCCGCAGACGATCCTCCTGGTTCACTGGCTGCTGACGACCTGGTGAGTGACTCCACAGGTGTCCCGGCTCTGTGTCCACCTGTCTCCCGGGATCTGGGTGCACATATCGCCAGGGTCTTGTCCGTGTGTCACTTGGGTCTTGTCCGCGGGTCTCCTGGCCAGTTCCAAAGCCAAATAGCACCTCTGCCAAGAACGTCCTCAGCAAGCTCCCCACGTCCCAAGAATGTGGGAGGGGCAGGCAGTTTCCAGAGGAAACTTAGACCCCCTGAATCATTTTCTCACCTGCAAAATGACGGTATTACCGACACCCCTCCTTACCTTGTAAGGTCATTGGAAGGTGAAAGCATAGCTTTAGAAACTGTCATAACCGCTAACATTTATTGAGGGTGTCTCGGGGCCAGCCGCTGGGCTGAGCGCCTTCTGTGGCTTAGCTCAATGGCTCAGCAAGTAGATATTCTATGAGCTGAGAGACACAGGGTGGTCACTTGCTTAGGGGCAGACCCTCACTCTTCTATGATGGCAGATTCAGGATTTAGATGGACCCGGGCAGGTCCTGGCTCAGCCAGGGTCCAGCCGGGTTACCTTAGGCAAGTGACCCACCCGCCTCTTGGGGCCTTGGTTTCCATCTGTCAAATGGGTATATGGATGGCACACCCCTCAGGAGCTGTGGGGGAGAGGCGTGGCAGTGCTCATCCCACACTCCCTGGGGCCACAAAGGGAGGCTCGAGGATTGCAGGGCTGATTTTCATTATTGCCGCCTAATGAAATGACGGTTGAGCTGCTGGGGAGATTTCTCTGCCAAACCAGGACTGGAAACAGTTGAGCCTCTGTGTGCGTTTTGCAGACTTCAAGGTACACTGCCTGCGTCAATGGCGGTGTCTTCCAGTGTCTTCTGGAAAAGGGCTAAGGCTGTTGGAGTTCAAATCCCAGCTCCCCCACTTAGAAGCCATGTGGCCCTGGGCACGTTACCTGATCTCTCTGTGCCTCACCTTCCTCGTTTTTAAAAACGAGGCCGGTATTTGTGCTCCCTTTCTAGAGTTGCGAACATAAATGCACTTTAAAGCACCTAGAACTGTGCTAGTCGCTAGCAGGGCCTCGGTGCTAATAGTGTCATTGGGTTGACAAGTCGTAAACGCATCCGTCGGGAGTTGGTAACGATCCCCCAGAACAGAAGATACGGGCGGGTGTTGTGTTAGAAAGTGACAAGGTGGTACTTAAAATTAGGTGGTCGGGGAAAGAGTCTCAGAGGTAACGTTTGGGCTGAGACTAAAGTAACACAACAGGGCCAAGTGTTCAGGGTAGAGGACACAGCACGGGCAGTGGCTGGACCGTAAGAGTCTGTGTCACGGGCCGGATCCCACAGGGCTCCTCAGGCCACGGGAAGGGTCTGTACTTCACTGCAAGTGGGACGGGAAACTGCTGGAGAATTCTTAGCAGGAGAGCGACATCGTCGCCCCTGGAAGGGCAGGAATGGAAGTGAGAGACCGGTGGGCAGAGGCCACAGAGATCAATCCGTGGATGTATCCAGGGGAGGATGGTGTTTTGGAGCTGGAGGGATATGGCCGGATTCGGGGTCCCTTTGGGAAGTGACGCCAAGGGGATTTGCTTGCTGACGTTTCCAGGGCAGGGGAGGTGCCCTGGAGCCGGGCAGACGGCACGTCAGAGGGCCCTGAGGCCCGGGAGCGGGAGGGGGCGGGCACCTGGGGGGCGGTCACCTCATGTGACTCCGGTGCCTCTTCCCACAGGGGCTGCATAGCGTTCGAGGGCCCCTATCCCTGGGCAAACTTCACCATCCTGGCCTTGGGCGTGTGGGCCGTTGCTCAGAGGGACTCCATCGACGCCATAAGCCTGGTGAGGCGGGGGACGCAGCGAGAGGACTGGCTTCAGGGTGGTCGTGCCCCGCCCCCGGTCTCCCCCTCACCCATCCCGATCCTCTCTCTCCTCCTCGTGCCCCCGTTTTCCATTCTCTAAAGCCTTGTGAATAAGCCCACCCAGGCTACCAGCCCACGTGTGTCTTCACTAGCCTGGCCTGCTTCTCGGCCTGCCGGGCCCACAGCGCCCCGAGTCTGCTCAGGGCCTTCCCCAAGAGAGTGGCACGGGTGGGGTCCCCCCAGGCGCCCCAGAGCGGCCGCTCCTCGATGGCACTGGACCCCTTTCCCATAACCCACCTCTAGGTTCTGGTGGGGAGGGATGTGGCTGGAGACCCACGATGAGGGAGCTCCTGTACTTACGAGGTCAGAGTGGACACAGCCCTGCTGAGCTCTGTCAAGGACAACCGCTACGCCCCGGCGGGCGGTGGGCGCTCCAGCACCGGCCCGTCAGGATGACCGAGGAAGGGCTTCCCTGGTGCTGGAGACAGATTGGGCGAACTCCAAGGGACCTCTGTCTTGGAGGTTCTGGAGCCAAGTCTCGTGCCCCATCGTGGCCTCAAGGGCAACAGGGGCAGTGGTGGGAGGTGGGGCTCTGGTGGAGCCACAGGCTAGGTCCGGACCGGGTCCCCACGTCCCCACGTCCCCGCGCTCGGTGCTGCAGTCCTCGGGCAGGCGCCTCATCCACAGGGTCCTGCCTGCTTGCTGATGTGTTTTGCAGCAAAGCCTAAGGACACAGGAGGGCACAGACAGAGCTTCCGGTCTGGTATATGGGGGGGGGGGGGGGGGGCAGGAGGGCATGAGAGGGCGTCGGCGCGCTCTTAAGCCCTGGTGACACGTGGTCACCACGGGCCCTGCGCCTGGCCTGTCTTGCAGTTTCTGGGTGGCTTGGCGGCCACCATCTTCCTGGACATCGTCCACATCAGCATCTTCTACCAGCGGACCAGCTTCTCGGACACGGAGCGCTTTGGTGCCGGCATGGCCATCCTCAGCCTGCTCCTCAAGCCCTTGTCCTGCTGCTTCGTCTACCACATGTACCGGGAGCGCGGGGGTGAGCTCCTGCTCCATATTGGTGAGGCCACCACCTGCGGCCAGCCCCCTGACTGCCCTGTCCCCGGCCCAGGTGCTGGCAGCGCCTTCCTCGTCTCCCCTGACTCTGTCTAGCCTGGCCCACAGCCCCTGCCCGAGGGGGCCGTCCTTGCCCTGGGGACAAAGGCTCAAGGTGCAGGGAGGAGTGTGGCGTGGACGCTGAACCCCAGGCCAGGAGGCATACAAGCTCCGGCTTCTGCTGCACCAGCCCTGTGCTCGCATCCCAGCCTGCTGGGAGCTTTCCCCGGCATCAGGCCGCGGGCAGAGTTGGGGGTGGCGACCGGACCCCCCTCTTAGCCCGAGCACGGATACAGCTGGGCGTGCCCCGGTTCCGAGGCAGCTCTGGGCAGTAGCAGCCTGGAGCCTCCCCTCCTGCCCTGTGGGGTCTGGGTGGCCAAGGAAGAAGGCGCTGGCATGGCATGGGCCGCGGGAGCCTTGGCTGAGCCCCAGGTGCTCTCCCTGCTGACATCTGTGTCACCCCGCTCCCGTCCCGGCCCACCGCTACCCCTCCAACACCGTCTTTGAGCTGTACCCCTCTCATGGCGGCCAGGCCGTTCTCCTGTTCTCTCTGACATCTCATCTCAGACAAGTAGGGAGAGGCTGGGGGGCAGTCTTGCACTGTTCTGTCTGGAGAAGAGAGGCCCAGAGGGGCCCATGACCCGCCCAGGGGAGCAGCCGGGCCAGGGCAGGGGTGGCCTGTGGCCTCCCCCTGGCTGACTTCAGCACTGCCGGGGGGTTGGGGGGAGCCAGTAACGTTCCTCCCCTTGGACACATGAAGGAGCTGGCGCCCTTAGCCCTTGGGACCTGCTCCAGATCACGGGACAGATGTGCAGGGCAGGGATGGAGTGAGGGCATGGGCACCTCGAACCCTCTCACCTACCTGGCACCCCCAGCCCAGCGCTCTGGGCTCTGCAGCTGTGCCAGCTCTGGGCCTTCTGGACACAGTAACACGGTGTCCCCTGTGCCTCGGAGAGGAGCCTGTGGGCCCAGGGCTGGGCACCCTCTCCTCGAGTTGCTAAGCATGCACTGTGCAGGGCCGAGCGTGGTGGGCGAGAGCACTCGTGCTGCCTTGGCTTGACTCTTAGTGTCCCCAGCTTCAAGCTCCCTGATCGCAGGCAAGTCAGTCCACCTCTTTGACCCTCAGTTTTCCCGTCTGTAAAGTGGGGGCAACAAGATGCCTGCTCTGTAGGGATATGGGAGGATTGGCTGCACACGTGCCAATAGTTTGGGGGCGGTGCTCTCGCCATCCCTGTCCCAGGGCCCTCCTGGTGGGGGTGGGTGGGTAGAACATCTTGAGTCCTCACCCTTCATTTTTTCTCCCCTACCCCCATGTCCCCCCGCCCCTAGGTTTCCTCGGACCGTCACAGGAGCGCAGCGACTACCAGACGATTGACTCACCAGAGGCGCCCGCAGACCCTTTCGGAGGCTCGGAGAGCAGGGGTCACGCCCCGCAAGGGTACTGAAGCCAGGCTGCTTTGCCGGGCCCCAGCCTGGGGCCAGTATGACAGACTGTGGAGGTGGCTCAGGCTGCACCACCTTCCTTGCGCCTCGGATGGTGTTCTAGATGCCCCCCGCCCTGCCCACCTTGGACTGTGTTCTCCTGTTCCTCATCTCAGGGGTTGCCTGAATCAGGTGCCCTGAGTGGCCAGGAGCCCCATGCATACCTGTCCCAGACTCCCTGAGACCTCCTCTCCCTTCAGGGTAGCTCACTGGCCCGTGCCAGTAAAGCTGGGAACCTGGTCTCTCCTCACCCGCCCGTGCAGCCGCAGGCCGAGCTCCGCCTGGGCCAGGCCTTACCCACAGTTTGTTGACCCCACCCGCAGAAGCTCTGAGAGCTTTAGGTGGTGCTCAGCCCTCAGTCCCAGGAGCAGTGCAGCATGGCAGTGAGGTCCCTGGGCTTCTCGCTGCCTGGTCACTCGGTGCTTGGGGACGTTGGGGCTGGAGACGGAGGGGTGTCGGCAGCACCTGAGACCCTCTGCAGCCTCCAGCTGCCCTTCCCAGAGCCACGGCATTAAAAGTTTGGGGAATCTGTAGCTGGGTGTGTTTTGAGCCACGTTTAATCTCCCAGCCGGGCTGGGTCCGGGACCTGTCATTCCTGAGAAGATTTCTCCTTTGAATCCCCAGGGAAACTGGGCTTAGTTGCCAGTTCTGTCATGGCGGGAGGAAGCCTGGGCTCACGACCAGCTGGGCCTGCCGTGCACCCAGCTCTGGCCTCACCGGGGCCTGGGCAGAGGAGGGCCCTCTTTGGTGTGGCAGACGGGCACGTGTGTCTCTGAATCAGATGACTCGGGTATTGGTTTGAATCCCTCTCTGCCACTTCCTGGCTATGTGCCTTTGAGCAACTTAACATCTCTGACCTCAGTGTCTTCTGGAAAAGGGCTAATGCCCGCCCGGAGGGTGATGCCACACACAAAGAGTGCAGTGCCTGGCCCTTGGAAAGTTCCCGAAGTAACAGCATTGGTGGGTTGCTCTTTGAGCCTGTGATGATGTGGGGTCAGTAGGCAAAGGGTGACATCTCCCTGGCAGACCCTGGGTCTTGGTGTGAGGGCTGAGGAGGACCAACACCTGTCCAGAAGCCCCAAGTGTCCCGTGGCCAGGGTGCCACTCCACTCCGACTGGACTGAGTGTTGATCTCTGGGCCTCATGTGCCTGGACTTCCCCAGGCCGTCCTGGATCGTCCCCGGCACAAAGAGATCAAAGCCTAGTGCACAACCCCACCATCCTCCTGTGTCCGTCTGTCCTAAGGGGCTTAGTGCCTGCTGCTGCAAGTGCCTGGGGCTGCAGGGCTGAACTCTGGTGCCTGCTCTCAGGGAATAGACATTAGGAGTCCACTGTCAGGAGGCAGGAGCTCCGAAAGGAACCTCTGGGACCGAACCTGTGCTCTGGCCAAGGGTTGGTGAGTGGCTGCAGCTGTAAGAAACCTGGAACTAGCTTCACCATCAGAAGGGGACGGATAGATGGTCCGTGCTGTATTCATCCTGTGGCTATGGTTCAGCAGTTCAAATGAATAAACCAGACCAATTTCTTTTTTTCTTTTAAAGTTTATTTTATGAGAGAGAGCGAGAGTGCAAGTGGGGGAGGAGCAGAGAGAGAGAGAGAGAGAGAGAGAGAGAGGGAATCCCAAGCAGGCTCCTCGCTGGTAGTGCAGAGCCCATCGCGGATCTCGATCTCACAAACTGCAAGATCATGACCTGAGCCAAAATCGAGAGTCGGATGCTCAACCAGCTGAGCCGCCCAGGCGCCCCAGACCTATCTTTATGGACATCGGTCCCCCTGTTGGGAGCAAAACAGATTGCAGAATGGCGTGTGCAATATGAGTGTTAGCATGACTTTAAAAACCTCCAAGCAATCCTGTATGTCGTTCATGAGGGTACGTGTGGTGAAATATTGAAGAGTGGACTAGAAGGAAACACCCCTCAAGGTCATGGTTGAGGCGGCCTTGGGTTGGGGAAGGGTGTGGCCTTCGAGGAATGGGACTAAAACCCAAGTTCCAATTCTCTGGTTTCTACCAGTTCCTGGCACATGGGAGGCCTCCAGTGGGCACATGCTCCCGTGTGTATGTTGTGAATATGTCAGATTTCCAAAGGGAATGAAAAGGTGAGGGGGGTGTGTGTGTGAGGGGGACAGCTAAAAGAGCCTGTGTCAAGCAGAGGGGATAGTATAGCCAGAGATCCCTCAAGTCTGACCGGATCTTTATGGGGGGCAGAGGAAGGTTCCTATCCTAGGTGGGCATCCCCAGAAGCAGACCCTGAATGCAGCGTGTGACTCAGTACAAAGCAAGGGAGCTGGGCTTTCCGGTCACTGGCCAAGGGCTGCTCCGGGGGCGGGGGACTGTGACTTAAACTTCCAGGCTATTCTGGCGCCCTGACCATGCAGGCCAAGTGGCCCCAGGAGCCGGAGGACTGTCCTGCAAGAAGAGTGCCATCAGAGGCCCAGAGAGAGCGAGGGCCACCGGCAGGGTGCCCCCTTTCCACCCAGCATGTCTCAAAACTGATTTTGTAACATCCATTCAACAAGCAGCCAAAAGCCTATGGGAACTGGGAGGCTTCTAGATGCTGGGCTACCAGAATCAAACCAAAAAAAAAAAAAAAAAAGCCCCAAGTGTCAGGGGATTGCATCTGGCGTGAGGTTGCAGGCAGGGGAACAGCTCATAGGAAGGCTTGAGTGTGTGTGTTCCTGTCCAGCCTGTTACTGGGCATGGCCAGGAGGGCCAGGAGGCCGATCGGCTGGAGCCAAGGGAGGGATGGAGGAATGAGGTCAGAAAGGCAGCAGGGACCAGCTGGCAAAGGGTTAGTAGGTCATTTCGAGGACTTTGGCGGCCTTTTTTTTTATAATGTCTATTTTTGAGAGAGAGCGAGAGAAAGTGGGGGAGGGGCAGGGAGAGAGGGAGACAGAATCCGCAGGAGGCGCCAGGCTCTGAGCTGTCAGCGCAGCGCCCGACGAGGGGCTCGAACCCGCGAACCACGAGATCTGACCTGAGCCGAAGTCGGACGCTTAACTGACTGAGCCACCCGGGCGCCCCAGACTTGGGCTCTTTCTGAGTGAGATGGGGGCCGCTGGAGGGCTTTGCACAGAATGGGACACAATCTGACTTACGCTCTGAAAGGACAATGTTGGTGGCTTGGGCTGGGAGGTGGGGGTGGGGACAAGTGGCCACATTGAGCAGAACACCACGCACCGGGTATCAGTTCCAGGGAGGACATCAGACAGCTCTGCCCGCTGCACCCTGTGGCCAGAGGCACCCGGGAAAGGGATGCAGTCCAGCACTGGATGAATCATGCTTTGCTCACGCCGCCGAGGAGGCAGCAAGCTGAGTTTTGGCGGTTGGCGGCAGTCCGCCGTGGCCAGCAGGCCTCTCCCAGTAACCGGCACGGGGCCAGTGGCTCGCTCTCCCCGCCCTCCTGCCACAGTGGCAGGACGCTCCCCTCCCCGAGAGGACAGATCTAGCATGGGGCTTGGCCGGCTGCCCTATGACACACACCCGTAAGCAGAACAAAGGAGCTCACCTTGGGCCTGAAACGGGAAAGATATTCCCGCTCGAGGTGACAAGGTCAGCACGGGCTGTGTGGGGTGGGCTCTTTATCTCTTGGTAAGGAAGTGTTCCAGCCTCAAGGCCACTGTTACCAGGCACGTGGGGTTGAAAGACCGCATGGAAGGGGCGCCCGGGGCGGGGTTCAGTCGGTTAAGTGTCTGACTTCCGCTCAGGTCAGGATCTCGCGGTTGGTGGGTTCGAGCCCCGCATCGAGCTCTGTGCTGACAGCTCGGAGCCTGGAGCCTGCTTCCGAATCTGTCTCCCTCTCTCTCCAACCCTCCCCTGCTCTCTCTCTCTCTCTCTCTCTCAAAGTAAAATAAACATTAAAAAAAATTAAAATAAAAAAGACAGCATGCAAGAGACTGCCTTTCCCCACAGGGCAGCTCAGGGGTATGTTTTGGAAACTGCTCGCCCCAGGAAGCAGATTTCCTTCTGCCTCTGGTCTCTGGCTAAGGAGGGCTGAAGCCACTGGTCTAGTTCCCAAATCCTGTATTTCTTGCTTACACAAAGCTGAGCCTTCCAGATGAGGGAGCCAGAGACAAGCCCTCCTCGTCCCGGGAGAGATCGCAGTCTTCTGTTGGCCCAAACTAGACCAGGGCCAGCCATACATGCGGGGCCCTTGCCTTGGGCCCGGCGGACGAGTCTCCAGAACAGCCTGGAAATTCCAACTCTCCCAGCCTCCCTCCAAAACAGCTCTAGAGTCAGCAAGCCTTGGTCAAATCCCTACTGCACCCTGTGACTGGCCGTATAAGAGACAGGACAGTGTCCTAACCTCGCCGTGACTCAGTTTCCTCATCTGAAAAGTTGGATAATAATAGTGCCTGACTCAGGGATTAGTAAGGTCTGAAAATGTGTCACGTCAGTGTTTCTCATTACCTGTGTTGCCACGTTAATTATTCAGAGGGAGGGAGGGAGTGAGGTAAGGAAAGAGTTTTCCTCAACGCGTTTAGGGTCACTGGCTGGGTCTGAAAAGTGAACTGGCAAAATTAACCGGGAAATCATGTACGTTTTATGGGACGTTTACACGTCTACGAGAACCTTCACAAGAGAAGGAAGGCCTGAAGTGACAACAGCAGGAAGCATTTCTACCTTTCACACAAAGAAACAAATGTGTGAGCGGGGCGCCTGGGTGGCTCAGTCGGTTGAGCGTCTTACCTCAGCTCAGGTCATGATCTCGAGGTTCAGAGTTCGAGCCCCACATCAGGGGCGGGGGTCTCCGGCACAGAGCCTGCTTTGGAGCCTCTGTCTCCCTGTCTTTCTGCCCCTTCCCTCCGCACCCCCACTCACTCGCTCTCTCTCTGTCAAAAATAAATAAACATTTTTTAAAAATGTGTGAAGAACCAACAGGACAAAGGGGTGTGGGCTGGGGTAGTGAGTGGTGAAGAAGTGTCTAGGAATATAAGGGTCCGTTTAACAAAGGTTGGTTTCTACAGATTTCTTGGGCTTAAGTTCCCTGTCTCCGGTGATAAGAATGTCCTCTTTCCTCCTGGTTTAGGAAGGGTAACTTTCACGTAGTAGATTTGGGACCTGTTTCAGGAAACGACAGGGGGAGGGGTCAGAGTGACTTTCCTGCTTCTGCCATTTTTTCAAACGCTCAGGTTAAGATGTCCATGATGCCAAGATGTCCACGATATCCAAAATGCCGTATTCTGGAGGTAGCATGTCGTGAGTCCCATCACCAGTCTGTCTGACCGCCCATTCCTTTATTCATTAATTATTAGTCCTCTAAACATTTATTGAGTGCTTTCTACAAGTTTTGAAACAATTGTCAGAAAGGAAC